ACGTTTTTATCTAAAGACATTACCCAGTCTATTGTCAATAAATTTGCACATTAACCTGCACCAAGACCAACGACATTCTGAAGGAAGAGAGGTTTCAAACAAGGGCTTGTCTGATATATGTGACCCATCATATCGAAATGAGGATTACGTCAAATTTGGTCAAAATGACCTAATTAGATTTTCAGATTCTTGGCTTTAAAAGCTACATTTTGATACCTGGATCATTCTGATATCATAATTAAATCCATATATATGACTTAATTTGTCTTGTTGGTTACAATAATACATAAATATTTGCTCTGAATCCTAATTTTATGTCATTTTAATGAGGAATTTTTGATGTCCTTATAAAGAGAAAGCCTCAAATTATGTTTGAATATTGAGATTTCCCAGCTAAAAAGAAACAAACTTTGCCAGCTCAGAGGGAAAATCTCAAAAATTTAATGCGTTTTTCCACAAAATCAGGTTTTTTTGCTACTTCTCAAAAAAGTGCTTCAAAAATTTGTTTTATGATTATATTTCAGACAGTTCATTCAAATCATACATTGATAAGGCATTTATTCATTATGTTTTGACAAAATGCAATTTTTGTAAACATTTTAGTCAAAACATTATACAGTATTTGCCTATTTCTCCATGTACAACTTTTGGACTTAATCCTCGTTTCGATGTGATGGGTCACATATTTGAAAAGAATACAACTCAGAAAGTCCATGGCAAAGTGGTCATTTAGTAGTAGTATTCATTTAATACTATTTATTTCTATATTCGATCATTTGGATTCTCATCTGACTTATCGTGATCATGTACAAGTCTTAACCACCAAGTTCAAACAGAAATTATAAGTTTATTCAAAAATTAGATCCAATCTGACATCTTCTGTTTCCAATATCTATCTTCATGCCATTATACTCTCAACCATGTTGTACTGTTTACCTGTTTGGTCTCTTACAACAAATGAAATCTTAGAACCCATAGTTAGGCTCAGGGCCTACAAAATTCATAAAAAACTTCCTGGTTGGACTCATCACTGTACAGTTTTTTTCATTGTCTGATGCCTTGACTTTTTAGAATTATGTTTTGTATAGTGGTATTAATTTATATTTTCAGATCTTCCAAGGTGTCAGTTATGGAACTCTCTGTGCATTGTTGCCCAAATCAAATTCTGGAAGTGGTCATTCAACTAGATCTGTTACAAAAGGACAACTGATATTACCAACTTTTAAAAACTGTTACGGCCAGAGGTCTTTTTTCTATGTTTATACTAAAGCATGGAATGACATTCCTCAAAACATAAAGTCCATTTCAAAACTACAGCCCTTTAAGAAGAATCTTATCTGCCATCTGCTGGACACTTTTTGTTGTGCTCATATTTAGACGTCCTATTTTGCAAATGCTGCCTTCCTGAAATTTGGTATGCTTGTTTGTCTTTGTGTCTATGGTGTAAAATGATGTGATTGTGATGCTGTATTTCTGAGTGTTTTATGTGCTGCAGAACAGGAACCTGCTGTAAAACAGCAATTATGCTGAGTCAGGCTTGATTTTTAGTAATCTTTTCCTGTTAAACCAATAAATCAAATCAATTTAGTACAGTTGCCTCTCAGTATAGCAATAACAAAAATTTAGCAAATCCAAAAAGCCAAAACACCTATTTATTGTTACACACTTTGTAGAATTAACTTGTGCAGATATTTATGATGAACTGCAACCAGCTGAAAGAGATAAGTTATGTTTGAGAGAAAATTTAATTTAAATTCAGACATATATTGCTGTAAGCTGGAGCCTCTCTCTACCGGACCTGGAGTTTGGTCATGTACCCAATTTGTACGTCTGTAAGGTAACAATGATGCTCCGAACACATTTGTTTCATTCTTAGATGTTTAATCATTTATTTCACGACTTCATCTTCATGGTGGCGGGCGGTTCTGTTAGGGTAGCAGGTCGAGTTGTCCTCCTTTGAAAAAGACTATAACTTCTCCTGCAGTTGTCTCTGCTCACAGACAGCAGGATCCGCCCTGCTCTGCTCTGCTGATTGGCTAAAACTGTGACTCTGATTCTCTTTATAGGTTGAAAGCAGCGCCAGTTAAATCCCAGCTTTTCACTGAAGACCACAACACACGTTTTTTTTCTCCTCAACACTTTTAGGAAATCTGCCCATACAGACGGAGAACTTTAATCCCTGCTGCCCAGCAAAGTTTAAGACCTTTGCGTAATGTATTTAAGTCCCACTTTTACATTTTTTTATGAATTTCAGACTTTATAGGCCTTAATTTAGACAAGTGAATTGAAGACTTTGTAAGGATGTGCTGACACCCTGTGAAAATGCTTGAATCTGTCAAACAAACGGCCAGTACTTCACTTTATTGTGCCAAACTGTGAGGAGTATAAAAGCTTGCAAATGTCTGGAAACGTCTGCAGGGTTTCTCAAATTTCCTCAAGCGAGTCGCAGGGCCACTCATCTGTGTAACATGGATTTGAAACGCTCAGAACTCAGTCCTTAGCAATCTCATCCTTTGCCTTAGAATAATATCTATACCAACTATTTGTATTTAGGCTATGCTGGACTGGCCTGCCTGCAGCACAGAGAATGTTGGAGAATTTAAAAACCAAAAATGTGATGAGGACAAGCCGCACTGCTGTACATTGTAAGATGTGTTTGAAGGATGAATTGAGCTAAATAAACCTAGAAGTTTTCATCACCTGGTATTCAAAGTGTCAGAACATCATTAAAGGTGTGGTCTATTCATTTTTGAAGTGATGTTCTGTCCAATAGTTATAAATAGTACCTTATCAGCCATAACATCAGTCACAACACAGAGTAAGGAGAACAGTCCTGCAGATGAGGCTAATGGTTAACTCAAAGGGGACCACTTGTATATCAATTGCAAATGAATGTACTGAGCATAAATCAATACTGTAACTACTGATGGTGCAGAGAGGCTGGCTGCTGAATGCACCAGTTTGTTGATCAAACCTCTGACCAACTGCACCAGTCAGGTACACTGATACCATTCAGCTGCCTCTCAGCTTGGTTAATAAAGTACTTACCATTGGAAATATGACAAGACTTCAACAAATGACCAGACTATCCCTTTAGGTGTTGGGGAAAGGAAAGAAGACATTACAAATTTGGAAAACCTTTACTAGAACAAAGCTTTTTGAAGGTGCTGCTCCTAAAATAAAGTAATGAATGGATATTAAATAAAATGATTTGGCTTATTACAGTGGTTTGCAAAAGTATTCATACCCCTTGAACTTTTCCATATTTTGTCACATTACAACCACAAACATAAATATATTTCACTGGAATTTAATGTGAAAGACCAACACAAAGTGGTATACAATTGTGAAGTGGAAGCAAAATTTTACATGAATCAAAACATTTTTTACAAATAAAAAACTGAAAAGTGCGACGTGCAAAAGTATTCAGCCCCCTTTTCCCTGAGTGCAACCAATTGCATTCAGAAGTTGCCTGATGACTGCTAATGACTCAAAAGGGTCCACCTGTGTGTAATCTAATCTCAGTACAAATACAGCTGCTCCGTGACGGCCTCAGATGTTGGTTAAGAGAATATTGGGGAGCAAACAGCATCATGAAGTCCAAAGAACACACCAGACAGGTTAGGAATATGGTTTTGGAGAAGTTTAAAGCAGGCTTAGGTTATAAAAAGATTTCCCAAGCTTTGAACATCTCACGGAGCACTGTTCAATCCATCATCCGGAAATGGAAAGAGTATGGCACCACAGTAAACCTGCCAAGACAAGGCCGTCCACCTAAACTTACAGGCCGAACAAGGAGATCACTGATCAGAGAGGCAGCCAAGAGGCCCATGGTGACTCTGGATGAAATGCAGAGAGCCACAGCTCAGGTGGGGGAAACTGTCCACAGGACAACAATTAGTCGTGCACTACACAAATGTGGTCTTTATGGAAGAGTGGCAAGGAGAAAGCCATTGTTAAAAGAAAACCATAAGAAGTCCCGTTTGCAGTTTGCCAGAAGCCATGTTGAGGACACAGCAAACATGTGGAAGAAGGTGCTTTGGTCAGACGAGACCAAAATTGAACTTTTTGGCCACAATGCAAAACGCTATGTGTGGCGGAGAAAGAACACTGCACATCACTCTGAAAACACCATCCCCACTGTCAAATATGGTGGTGGCAGCATCATACTCTGGGGGTGCTTCTCTTCAGCAGGGACCGGGAAGTTGGTCAAAGTTGATGGGAAGATGGATGGAGCCAAATACAGGGCAATCTTGGAAGAAAACCTGTTGGAGTCAGCAAAAGATTTGAGACTGGGGCGGAGGTTCACCTTCCAGCAGGACAACGACCCTAAACATAAAGCCAAAGCTACAATGGAGTGGTTTAAAAAAAAGAATATTCATGTGTTAGAATGGCCCAGTCAAAGTCCAGACCTAAACCCAATTGAGAATTTGTGGCAAGATCTCAAAACTGCTGTTCACAAACGCTCTCCATCCAATCTGACTGAGCTTGAGCTGTTTTGCAAGGAGGAATGGGCAAGAATTGCAGTCACTAGATGTGCAAAGCTGGTGGAGACATACCCTAAAAGACTTGCAGCTGTAATTGCAGCAAAAGGTGGCTCCACAAAGTATTGACTCAGGGGGGGCTGAATAATTTTGCACATCGCACTTTTCAGTTTTTTATTTGTAAAAAATGTTTTGATTCATGTAAAATTTTGCTTCCACTTCACAATTGTATACCACTTTGTGTTGGTCTTTCACATTAAATTCCAGTGAAATATATTTATGTTTGTGGTTGTAATGTGACAAAATATGGAAAAGTTCAAGGGGTATGAATACTTTTGCAAACCACTGTATATCAGACCTGGATTCTGTTATTTGGAAGAAGAAAAAAGACTTTCCAGGCAATCTTTCCTTTCAAGTCTTCTGCACAATAAAATGTTGAAAATGACGTGCATGCCGCTGTTATTTAGACTGTTATACGACAAATATTCAGTTGTTCAGTTTGTCTAAAGCACCAACCTGCTGAGGGGTTGACAGGGAGGAGACCTCTTTGCTTTGATCATCCTCTCGTTCTGCTGTCTTGCCAAACAGTCTCCATCCTGTTGCATTGTGGGAAGTTGCCTTGGGCTCTTTGGATTTCCTAGAAAACAGACTCCTGAAAGAAAAATGCAACAAAACAGTGTTATTAAAGCTTATCTGATCACTGTACTGGGTATCACTCATTCAAATTTAAATGCTGTAATACGATAGAACTACAAATGTCTCTGGGGTCAGCAGAGAGAAAACCTTTTGTGTCGTGGAGCTTATTTAATCTCTATAGAAATGTAGAGTCACAGAACAAAATGGTAGAAATCTGGCTGCTATTTTAACTAAAATCATTTGGTATTTCTACAGCAAATTACACAAACAAACAAATATTTTCCAGAAAATGTAAAACTTGGTAATAAATTGGAGTCCTGTAAATTTTATGATCATGACTTCACTTTGAGCAATAACTTATAATAATCCTGATGATGTTGCCTTTTACATTTTACACATTAAAAACTCATGATATCATTTTTCATGTTGGAAATATCATTATTACAACATTTCCTGAAAAAGCATTAAAGTTGTTGATGTCAGACTAAAAAAAATCTACATAAAAGCCTTTAGTTCTCCAGAAGAATTAAGCAAGAGTTGTGGTTGTAGACAAAACATCATATACGTAATGATTGAGCAGAGGCAGCACTTTTTAAAGCTGCGACAGTTGGAAAAATAAAGTTGTTGAATCAACAGTTTTACATTTGATTTAGTGGAAGAGCTTTGGTCAAATGTGTGTGTGTGTGGGGGGGTGAAGAACGGAGATGAGGAGAATTTATGAAAAAGAAGTACAAATAGAGAACAAACACAAAGAAATTCAAGCAGAATAAGCAATAAAGCTAAATTTTCTACTCTTGTCTCCATAAACTTGAGTTTCTATTCTCTGAACAAGAGAGACACAAACGCTCACCTTTCAAAACCCAGACTCAAAGGATAATCCCATTGACCAATAAAAATCTTATTTATGGAGATGTGGAAGCTTTTCTCTATAGAGTTTTTTTTCTAACTCAAAACAGAGTTTACCTTGTTTAGTCTGTTGAAATAAAAAACAGTATGTTAACCATTTAAAGAGTGGTTCATTTAATTTTCTTAAAGCTCAAAACAGCTTTTTCAACATTAATTTCTATCAGCTTTTATTCTATTCTGTTTCCATCACAATTTTCAATTTACTACTCCTTGCAATTTTGAAAAGACCCAGCCAAAAATACATCACAATCTGCTGCTCCTTTGGTAATAGTGGACTATGATTTTTGGTAGCAATACTTGGTTTAATGTACAAAAAAAATTTCACAAAAAATTTGAAAACTTTACCCCACAGACAACAACAATGGAATTTTGGTGAAATAAATAAGAAAATCAGCCGTTTCTGAGACTCTACAGTTCAGACATATTCCACAAATAAATTTTAATTTAAAATCTATACATGTACATGAAAGTGTGACTTTGCATGATTCAACTAACTTTTTTTGGTGCTTAATACTATTTACACTCCTTCAACATTCCTTCAGAAATTTTCTAGTTAAGGTTTCATTTTTCTTTTCTATGCTTATTTACTCCCAACAACATTCTCTGACCATAAAGGCTGATTTACGACTGGTTTCAGTAAATTCAGGGTTTCCCCTTGTGTAGTATTGGTAGGGTTGGGCATCGAGTCTCGAGTATTGATTGGAACTGGGACTAACACGTCGACTCTCCTGGAATAATTTGAATTTTAAAATTTCCATTCCTATTTTTGATACCAAGTTCGCAAATTGGAAGAAGTAGGCTATGAATAAAACTTTCTGGAACACCACCAAAGAAGAATCCGAAGGTAGTTTGTGTGTAAATAAACAGTGTGTGTGCAAACGAATAGTGTGCAGTGACGGTCAATAGTGTGGCTTAATTTTAATAAAATTATAAGATTATGTGGTGTAAAGGAGAGGCCACATGGCCAACATGATTAAACACTGCTCAGGGTTCTGTCTTTGACACGATGCATCAAATACCAACACTGAGGCAGCTAACAAGTTATACTAGACAAACAGTGGGCCGTTGGTGGGGGAAACCCACAAACAAACTCTTAGCACAGCTGGAACTGAAACTACCAACAAGTGATCTATTTATAATTTAGTCAAATCAGTTTAAAACTCAAAAAAGTGCAAATAAGCTGTTTTTACTCTTTGACATTTTACAAAAGAGTCTACACTACACATTGGAAAAGCCACTTTAAAAAGTATTGAAGTTTAGAGATTTAAACTGAAAAAACTTTCACTGTTTTACATTATAAAACAGAAGCTAAATATGCTGAAAGAGATGGAAAAAAGATTCTTGGTATCTTATCACTTGTAGTTGTGGTACAACAAGTGAAAGAACAAACAGAAATAGAAATCAGGAAGTTCATTCTGTTCTTACTGACTGGAAAGTGTTTCTCCTCAGCTTAGAACAGTCCCATCTATTTGACGTTAAATGTTTTTGGTGTAATTAAAGATAAAAATCAAACCTATTCTGTGTTTCAGCCTCATCTGTTAATACAAGTATAAGACTAGAGAGCAGAATAAAAAGAGGTGTAACAAAGGTAAACTGACCAAACAGACCACCTGTATGGAAGAGATGTTTAGGATTGTTTGTGAATTAATTAAATATGCCAACATAAAACTAAATAAAAACTATTCTTGTATCTTTTATTAGAAATCAAAAATGAAGGAAAAAATTTTCAGAAACTTAAAAAGTTCTGCTTTAGGTTTTAGCTGCAGAAAGGTTTGTGTCTGTTCTGTTCGGATCATGTGACCAGCAGTATTCAGTTTCCTGCTCTGCGTTCCTCTCCGTCTGCTTGGATTTCTCCGAGTTGCCGTGACATTCCAGCCCGCTGCTGAGGCCGTGGTCCAAACCAACACTTGGATGAAGAAAATTCTCTACACCTGCCAGCCAGACAGCAGATTCTACTGTTGAAGAGTGCCAGACAACATCAGCTTTCTTTTATAAAGCCCAAATAGTAATTTGGGAAACACTTTAGTAATATTCTAAGCTTTGACAGCCAGACTCTTATTTTGAAGAGCATCAATGAACTTAGAACTGTTTTCTGCATGCCTTTTAAATTTGTTTAGATTTTAAATATTAAATTCTGCAGAGGCTTTTATACAACTATAAACTTAAAAATCCTAATAAAGACAAAATAGTTCATACAGGATTTATGGGGGCAGCCATGATGGAATAATACAAAAAAAAAGAAAGAAAGAAAGAAAGAAAGAAAAACCTGCTGAATAATAGAAAATTCATTGACTTAGAACAGGGGTGCCCAAACATTTTTCCCGAGAGGGCCAAAATGAAAATCTATCTGCGGCTGTGGGCCAAATAATATAATACTTGAAATACAAATACTTTTTAAGTAAAGTCCTTTATTTTTACCAATTAAGCTAGCAGCCAGTGCAATGGCCCTCTTTTGTTTTAGTCTGTGCAGTTGGAGAAAGTCTGCCTTACGCTCAAGTAGCAAAGGCTCATGGGATATTTCATAAATTGATAAAATATGAGTTTTTGTGGCCTTATAAAGTGTGCAAATCTAAATGTGGGGTTAAATCTGATCTAACTATCTCTTGTTGTTCTTCATGTTTCCCGTTTAATCCTAATAAATCAAAGATAAAGTCAGCACCATGAATGAAAACTACATTAAAGAGTAACTTTCCCCAAAATTTACTTTTTTTAGCTGATAAACTGTCTAGAATGTGTCTAAAATGTTATATAGTACTGTTTCTGTGCTAATTTTGATGTTTTTGTGCGTATTTGTTCAAATCTGTTCTAAAAACGTCTTTTTGCTGCTCATATGGGTAGCGCAGTTGTACTGCAGGCTAATTTGCATATTGGTTAACGGCTCTCTATGACGTGTCTTCTCCAGAGTTTCGTCACAGCGGCTGTGTTCTGGTATAAAAGC